GAGAGAGAGAGAGAGAGTGAGAGAGAGAGAGAGAGAGAGAGAGTAAATATATATATAATTATGTGTGTGTGAGTGTGTGTGTGTGTGTGTGTGTGTGTGTGTGTGTGTGAGAGAGAGAGAGAGAGAGAGAGAGAGAGAGAGAGAGAGAGAGAGAGAGAGAGAGAGAGAGAGAGAGAGAGAGAGGGCATACTTATCCAGTGCACGAAATGTGGTTCAGTGAAGTAGCGATAAATCCAGTTCAAAATATATAATGTTCGGTACCCACTGCAAGAAACGGGCAAGAAATCATCATTAATATCAAGAAACATAGAAATAAAATCGCCATTTAGTAGTTTAGTCGTCTTTTTTCACAAAGTATCGACTTTACGTAACGATTCTTGCAAGACCTTATCAGTTATTATATATATCAACCCAAAACTATTGCTTCTTCATCATTTCTACATGGTACTCGTTTCCGTAATTGTACTTTTACTTACTTCTTCTTAATCAATAAAATAACTAACATTTACGCACACAAAGATCTCCGTTTCTCACATTATGATTCAGACCTCTGTATTTCGATTGCAAACCAATCCCTCTCGATTAATAGTTGCATTATGCCAACTATATACATATACAGTAAGAACCTCAATAAATTAATAACCTCGATTAAATAATAGTTTCTCTCGGTCCCCACTAGGTGAAAAAATTATTAACTCGATAATTTAATAATTTGCTAAATTAATAGAATTTCCGTAGTCCCAACTGTATTAATTTATAGAGGTTTACATGTGTGTGTGTGGGTGTGTGTGTGTATATATATATATATATATATATTTCTTGTTGCTAAATAGAGGATTACCCGAGGAGAAAAACATATTGACCAGTCAAATTGTCGATATTTCTTGTTTTCTGCAGCAAAACTAGCTGAGGAAGTATAGCAACAGCTTCTAAGTACAACGAGAATGTCCACATTACCTACAAATTAAAATAAAAAAAATATAAAATAAAAAAAAAATTGAATTTTTTTTATCAACTCCGAAAAAATGAAGGTAAAAACGAAAAAAAAAAGGGTACCTCTTTGACAGTAAACTTGTGGTGTATGAGTAGGGCTAATAGCAAACAAGGGAGGATAAGGAAATAGTGGCGAAACGTGTCGTGTTCTTTGTCGTACGATCTTCGTACGATTTTATGTCGCCTTATATACCATACTATCGAGAAAGAACTTCCCAAGAAAATTAATTTCATTAGGGTGTTGTAGAGTGAGATGTAATCCGTGACAAGATCTAAGTATCGTGTGACGAAAACAATCGCGTAGAGTTCTTGCGTCTTCAACGAAATGCCTGTAAAGGGTATAGATTAAATATTTCACAAAATCGTACCATATATATATATATATATACACACACATATATATACCACGTTACGTTCATTTAGGAGTTTAATTAGTACAATGTGCAAATCTAAACAATACAAACAACTTCACTAGCGGAGCCAGGATTTTAAGTTCGCTGGGCCGAATGTATTAAAATTTTTATAGGGGGGGGGGGGTGTGATAATGCTAATTGAACACATTTTTTTTTAAATCTTTACGTAAAAAATTAAAGATTCGAGAATTGTTTTGGGGGGGGGGGGGGGGGGGGGGGGGGGGGGCCCCCCCCGGTTTATATTTGGCCCCCCCCCCCCAAAAATTTTTAAAATTTCCAAAAAAAAGGGAAACCAAACCCCCTTCTTTAAACCCCCGAAATTAAAAAAAAAAAAAACCCCTTTTTTTTTTTTTTGGGGGGGAAAAATTTAATTTTTAAAAGCTTTTTTTAACCCCGGAAAAAAAAATCTCCGAAATTGGAAAAAAAAAAAATTTTTTGAACCCCCCCCCCAA